ATTTCCTACTGGGTTGCTCATGCGAAGCAGTTCTCTTGTGATTACCAACACAAACACCGTTTAACTTTTGCCGACCACTGGTGTACATACCCTGCAGGGAAACCGCGGACTAGTGAATCAAATTTCTAGTTCCGTACTAGGTCGTTATCCCCAAAAAGGAACTAGTCCGATAGGAACTAGATCCCCACCAGTCCAAAATCGGCGAAAAGTGGTACTTTTAAGAAACAAATTTTTTCAGTTTTTTTCACTACAAATCTATATCCAAAGTGACGAATTTAGAAATGGTTCGGAACTATAGAAAAAGGGATGCAGAACGCACTAGATCCTATTTGTCGAATTTAGAACTATTTCGGAACTATCTAATAAGGTATGCAGCGGGGAGCTTGTTTACTTTACATAGATATGTGTTCGGCGGCTTTTTCGTTCAAATACGCTTCTATTCTGTGCTTCGCAGATGCTATTTCATAGTTTGGTAATACAAAACAAAGCTTTGTGTTAACATATTAACATCTTGGGGCCATCTGGAATCTAACCAATAACAGCGAGCACCTCTGCAAAGTCAGCTACAGCTAAAGGTATGTAAACGTACATTTCTTGCAATCATTCAAACAAATTTAATTTCAAACTGGAAAAACGTTTCTTTGAAAATAATGTAAAATCGCACACGGAAGAACCGAAAAAAATGAAAAATCATGATACTTTTTTCTTTCGTCTGTCGATTTTAGAACTGGTTCGGAACTATAGAATTTAGGACTAGTTCGGAACTATCGAAAAAGGGGTGCAGCGGGGGGCAATTGACACTTCCTAGGACATTGCCATATTAAATTCGCCAGTTGCTTGCATGCAAAAGAGATTTATCGTGAACCAGTACTGGGTCTAGATGTACTAGAAGCGCCCCAGTTCAGAACTAGAGATTTTCCCCACAGCGTATGCACCCCAAGCATGCAGAGCAGCACTCTGAGAGCAACACACACATACATACATAGTACTTACATGTTTATCCGCACAAATCGCGTGTTGTGTTGTTGATGGATATTCAACATTTGAAAGCAAATTTATATGGCTGGGTGTAGCTGAGTGCGCGAAGGTGCTTGCCACAAGTTGTTGATATCCGGAGATGGTCGGGTTCGAGTTCCACTGCAGGCAACATGCAAATACATTTTTTTTTTAGTTTTTGTGTTGATTATTCACTTCACGGATGCTTTTTCAGTACGAACGCGGTCATTTTAATATGCGCGTAATTGAATTGAATATTTACCAATATACAGTACTTTCGTTGACGTTTATAGTAAGATCAATTACGTTTCTATTTGGTTTTAATATTTTTTTCCCTCAGTGTAATGGAATACGGCATGGAAAAACGAAAACCCGTAGCAATTCCTTTAGATGCTGGTTTTCAAGTAAGATGCGACAACGAGCAATGCAAGCAAGTTAATATGACAAATTATAATTTTCAGTCATTAATAGGATCTTTAATGTATTTAGCAATTGCAACGCGGCCTGATATAATGCATTCTGTTTATAAACTTTCACAGAGAAATACTGACCCTCATGTTGAGCATGAAAAAGCAGCGAAGCATATACTGCGATATCTTTCGAAGACGGCGAAGTACAAATTGCACTATAGAAAGATGGGAAAGCCAATAGAATGTTACGTCGACGCAGATTGGGGTGGTGATACGATAGACCGAAAATCATTCACTGGATATGTTTTCATCTTGGGAGGTAGTGCGTTTTCTTGGTAGTCTAAAAGAAAACCACCGTCGCACTCAGCAGTACTGAAGCAAAGCACATGGCACTGACAGCAGCTACAAAGGAGGCAGTTTACATAAGAAAACTTTTGGGTGAAATGTTTTTGCGTTACGACAATAAACCGATGATATTGAATGGAAATAATGTTAGCGCGCAGCACCTCGTAAAGAATCCAGTATACCACGCACGCAGTAAACATATTGATATTAAATATCATTATATTCGAGAAGTATATATGAAGCAAGAAATCGAGCTCAACTACACTCCAACGAATGAGATGGTAGCTGATATTTTGACGAAGGATTTATCTAAGAATAAACGTCAAAAGCTTGTTGAGATGTTAGGCCTTTCTTAATCTCATGTATATAACACTGCATATTTTGTAGAGGAGGGATGTTGGGAATCAACCAAATAAGCTTTGTATTTCTGGTATACTTCTTA